AAAAATTGTGAGATTTTGCATAAACTCTAGTGGAAAGCACTTACTATTCACTCATCACTTCTAATGTTTATATTTATTGTAAGAATTCTTTTAATGAGTTATGTTATAGTCTATAGTTTTATGTAATGTTTATTTAGTCTTCAGTTTCACTGAAGTTAAGAAAAAGCAATGACTTATAAATCTGTGAACAAAATCAAATATACTGTTCAAAATTAAATAAGTTATAATTTTTAATTTAGCGCTTGGATTATGTTTGATCCACCTAAAGTAATTATAATAATTAATAATTAACAGAATAAGAGTATTTTTAGTTATAAATTAATTAATTTAAGTTTTAATATTATACAGAGAAGTTATATAATGTGTATTACTTTACATAATAAAATATAATAATAAAAATTAATAACACAAAGAATAAATAAAACAAAAATAAGAAAATTTTATAAAAATAAATTTTAGCATATATTTTTCCATAATCTATATTTATAGTAAGTTTTTATGATTGAGAATAGCAATGGTTTGAGTGAATTATCAGAAAATTAATATTTATAGTTGTGTTGAACAATGAGAACCAGACTTACAATACAACAACTCTTACGCTCTAAACGCAGATCTTGTTTATTCGTATACATCGAGACAATAGTGAAGTAAATCTTAATGTTTAGATGGCATCGGATAAAAACCAGATCCCTATCTCTGCTATAATAACAGTATTCTTAACTCTAATTTTTGTTTTTCTTACAAAAAGAAAACCCATAATAAAATTGGAATCCAAACAATATATCTCCAAATATATCCAAAACTTGTATTTCTGGTATTTATGCTAAAATTCATTTATTAATTAACAAACATTCGTAATATAAGGCCAATAAATATGCACTGCCATCATCATGAAATCTTCATATATGAAACAGCATGATGATATTACATTTTAACAATTTTATGGACTTACCCTATATCATCAAATTTAATATTTTGCTTAATACCGAGTCTAAAGGCTTAAATAAAATGTGATGACATTTAATACTAGACGCAGTGATAATAAAACACTTAAATGTGAATTTGAAAACCAGATTGAAAAATGTCTGAATATTATTGGATTAATGTCTGATATGTAAAGATATTGGACGCAAACCAATCATTTAAGTTTAATACTAGACGCAGTGATAATAAAACACTTAAATGTGAATTTGAAAACCAGATTGAAAAATGTCTGAATATTATTGGATTAATGTCTGATATGTAAAGATATTGGACGCAAACCAATCATTTAAGGCATTATACACTTTTAAACTTACTTAAACTATGTCAATGTATGCTTTTTATTACACATTTTAAACGATGAGACTTTAAATTATCGATTAAAAAGCATTTCCTAAACTCTGGGATAAAATTAAAATAAAATTTAGTTGTTTTCATTTTGTAATTCATTAGTGAACTAATAGTTACAGATTTATGAAGCCATCGATAAATGCAAATATAGTGTAGTCTGAATTGGTTTGCAATTTCTTTATCACTTTAGTGACACAAACTTAAAGTCAGCACAAATTGAATGCCAATCTCTTTAAGCACTTATACATGTAATGAGTTGCCTATCAATGGGTTTTATTTTGAGAGAAGAGACTAAAAATGAACACAAGATGTGAAGGAACGACACTCCGAGAGGTGAGGACTTGTTTGGCTTCTGTTAATCAAAACACCACAAAACCAGTCAATCGTTGTCTAAAACTATTTAAAGACAATACGATTAGATCTCTCGCTTGTAATACACATTAAAGTGTTGTTTACTTTGGAGTCAATCAATGAAATGTGAATTTTGGTGATTCTGTAGTGTTTTGTGTATCAGTTCTAGAAATAAATTCTTTGCACGGATTTTGATGCCATAAAACAGAGCTAAGAGTTTGCGATAAAGTCATTGCAATTAGATTTTTGGTATCATTCAAAACCTCGTGTTTTATGTAATAGCAGTTAATTACCACTAAAAGCATTGCATTTATTTCGACAATAAAATCCTTATTTTTAGGCAAAAAATGTAATGCTTTAAATTGTGTACTAAATACAAGTATAAGTCATTAGAGCTTATCGTAAATTACAAAACATTATATTTTTGACTTTGATTGCACTCTATTATGAGGTCTTTATATTTTTGCTAATCTAAAAACTATTGGATACATAAAAACACAAAATGAATAAATTCTGTCATTAATTTACCGCAGAATATATGCGACTATTGCTATCATTTGGCTTTTGATTTCATAATAGCCAAACATTTTTCTCATTTGTTTAAAAGCATTTATTTAACAAACCATTTGTATGTATATCCACTGATGAATATCAATATAATTTGCGAACATAGAGTCAGTCCAAGTCATCTCCACCACCAAAAATATAGTCGACTCAAGCTTTTTTGAAATCTGATGCAAAATAACATTTTGCGAGCATTGATATGAAGTCTCGGTTTTATGTTTCCGTTTAGTGAATCCATTCAAATGTTGTCATAAGAGCTAAAAAGATGATAATTAGTCAGAGAAACTTCCGCTCCCTTCCCTTCTCTCCACAAAACAAATATTTTGTCTGAAGATTATTAAAATCAGAAATCATTAAAACTATTCATTTGCTGTATTCCTCACGTTTTATGAGAATTTATGTAACAGTAAGCAAACGACTTTTTTATTTTATTAAATCATTTCCAACTAAAATAGAGATAATTTTAAAGTTTGGCGGAAAGGGTCTGAAAAAATAGTTTAATTATAGCAAATAATAAGGAAATAGCTCTGAATTAAAATAAAAAATATTTCAACACTTCAATTATGAAAACAATTAATGTAACCATTTTTTCATAAAACTCACACAATTGTCATCAATTTATAAAATAAATGTTTTATTAAATTTAAATCATTTAAAAATATCTTCAATAGTTATTAATAAAAAACAAAAGGGCAGTGAAATTACATTATTAATACACTAAAATAGTAAACAATTATTTAGTTGTAAAAACTTCATGCAATTAATGATAAATTCGACGTATGAATAGTCAGTTCACGAAGTTTTCGCATTTCAATGGTTAGAGTGTTATGCATCTGAAAATACAACATATAATTCAATTAACAAATGCAAAAATAATCATTAGTCAAATGATAATAACATAATCAATATTTAAATACCTGTTTATATTTGGTAACACTTTTCTCTTCATTCAAAATTCGTAACAAAGCATTGAATATATGATACGGAATATAAAGGGGACGAGTGTTGGGTAGTAGCGGACACTATATCATAAGGTAATTGTATTTTAATTAGAATTATATTAATATTTACATTATTTAATAATAATATAAATGAATAACAATTACCCGAATATCAAAATATTCGGTTCCCTTCCCCTCGAAAGCTCTCATGTATTCAACGGACAAATTAAAGGCTTCTTCGATGAAGTCGTATGTCATTAATAGCCGAAGCAATTCCGGACAGTTTTGTCTCTAAAATGGATTTCAAAATATCATTAAACATAAGTACAAATCGATATTTAAGTTTAATTAATAAAGTTTTAAGCCAATTACCACCTTATTAAGAACTCGCTAATTAAAAGCATAATGAGATAAAAAGTAAGAATTATTGAGGGAAAGTACAGTACAGTCAGATCAGTCGGCAACAAAATAGTCTCGTTTAACAGTATTAAAAGTCAAGCAATAAGTTGTTAATTAGTTTGTTATGGTTTTGTGCCAAACTTTCAATTCTTTTGTTTCAAACAAATTAGTGAAAACTATTTACTAATTAATAGATAATAATCTCATTATAAAGTGAAAGCTATGCCAGTCTAATGCTTATAGAGCAATGAAAATCGACAGAATATTTTAAAATATTTTAATAATTGGATGAAAATTAGAAATTATTCGCAAATTAAGTGTTAAATCACCTGATATTTCAATTTAAGACACGTGGGAATCATTAAACCATTTGCTAATAGTTTTTCGGCCACACATTTCTTCAGACAAGTCTGTCCTTCGGCTTCATATCTGTCGATATAAGCGGAGATCAAATGCCACATCTTGTCTACGGGTGACATATCGGCGGCGTTAATGAAACCCAGAGATGGCGTGTCGTTATCCACGAAACAGTCGTAGACGTCGACGATTTCATAGCTGTTTCCCGATTGTACTAAATATATGTATTTGGAAACAATTCCTTCAAAGATGGGCTCGAATTTGAGTTTAAGTAAAGAACACAAATCGAAGGCTAAGTCGAAGAGTGAGGCAGAGATGAGAAGAGTGACCGTTTCCGTGGCGTCGAGCGGCGTGTTTGCGATGGCGTACGTCTTCTCGTCCTTTTGAAGTAACCGATACCTGGCTCTCACTAACTCGTACTCGCGTTTGATGTCATCGCTGTCCAGGATTTCTAACTCCAAACTCTTCCTAAAGTTCTCAACTTCTGGATCAACGGATCTCTTGATGTTTGAGTCGTGTTTGCGTTTCGTGAGCGGAGAGGTATTGTCTCTCTTAAAGGAATGCTTTACAATCCATGAATACTTTGGATTAATTATTTTGAGACAATTCAAAACAATCAGATAAGAAGTGACTTGTTTTTGGATGCTTTCCATTCCATTCACTTCTTGACTCAGTCGTCGACAGAACTCGTACATCACAGAAGCGGCTCTCCTGTAGTTACTGTCTCTCACGAAGTAAGAGTACAAGAGGTGGTAATAATTGACGTGATTTGAGAGGAGTAAGTCTGTGGAGCGGGCCCTCGACTCGATTATATTGACGAACTCATCTTCGATATCATTATAAGTGAAAGCCGTGAGCGCTGACAACTGTCCGCTCTCGCAGTGATGGACAATGAATTGTCGCAAACATATCTTCTTATGAGATACGTCTGGATTGGAGATCATTGTCTCGTAGGCTTCGGTCGTGTTCTCCAACTCTAAGTGGGCCATGAATTTAGTCGAATACAAAGAGGAGATGTGTTCGTCATAATTGGGATCCGATTTGTCTAACGCCGAGAGAGCGCTGTCCACCACTTCTATGACTGAGTCGGGAGAGCCATAGATAGCAAACAATTGCAATAATTTGTTGTAATATTTATAAATAATGTTGGATTTGATGGCATCGCTCTCATCTTCCACTTCGATCTCGCGATTGTTTCCAATAATAATTCGTTTGAGAAACAGGTCTTCATTCACACCAAAGAGCGCTCTATTAAAAAGCGAAACCGATTTATACGACTCTCCGATAATCAGATAACACAAGGCTTTCAGAAAGAGTCTTGAGTTGGAGTTCCATTCGCACCAAACGTCCAGTTTGTTGATGTATTCCATGAGTAGGTTGTGCTGACCGAAGCCCAACAGGAACTCCGGTAAATGGAAATGAGTGGTGAGGGGAGAGATTAGCAGAACAATTGAGTGCACGAATTGAGGCATAATTGTGGTCCATATCTCTAAATTGGATATATTCTCATCGCTTCTCTTGAATTTGTTTGTCAACAACTTCTTGGCCAAAACTCCGCCATTATTTTGGATGAAATAATTGATTATAGTTTTGGGTCCGCAATCAAACAGCAGGGCTGATGAAGTGCCGCTTCGACTCACGTTTATGTATTCGTTGAGCTCCAGAAGCGATAGCAGAGCGACACTGTCTTCAGCGGCAACGGATCCAAAGCTTCCCAAACTCATCGGTGTTTCACAAATCCATGCCATTAGATAATATGCGTTCAAAATTTCTGCAGTCATTGGTATTGTGTTACAATTGATTTTCTCAATGATTTCGAGGCTTTCTTTGTTTCTTAATTTAGTTAAGAATGACTGGAATAGTAGTAAATCGCGACAAAAGTTAAATCTCAATCTCACGACTCGTTTGACACTTTCGCTCAAGAGATTGAGTCCACGACTACTTGAAAGACAATTTTGAAAGATTGGAGAAATGGTTTGCGAGCCGTCCATCAAAATGGCGCTCTGCTCTTCGTTGGCGTCTTTTAGATACGATTCCAACGTTTTAATCATCAGTAGAATGGCGTCCAACAGTTGAGGCGCCTTAGACTGTATGTTATCAAACGAATGCTTAAGAGGCTCTCCTGTCAGTGATCTGGGATCAGTTGTTAACATCAATGAGTTATCGATGAGTGCTTCGGCGGCAGTGATGGGAGACTCTCCCTTCAAGAGGAAGGCCTCGAATGCGATCAAGTCGTCGTCAATAAGCGATTCATTGATTAGGGAAACACTTTTGAGGAGAAGTGATAAACTCGACTCTAGTGACGGGTCGTCGCAGACCAGACTTAAGTCATATTTGTTATCAAAGAACGAGTCATCGATAATATCATCCATCGGATCGTTTTTGACGGGAAACTCAATGTTTGCTTTTTTGATAATTCCTTTGAACCCAGTCTTGGGATCAATGAAGAGTCCGAGCGGTTTATTCTCTGCGCTGTGGTATTGCTGACAAAATGAATGCAAATTACGCCACGACTCCAACTCCAGAGCTGTATACTCTTCGGCCGATAGTTCCGCCGCTCCGACAAGACTTCTTATCTGAAGTAAAAACACAACAAAATATTGTAATGACTTTGTATAAAATCTCACAATTAATTCAAATTAAAATAATTTCATTCATTAAAAACAAATTCATTTAAATTAATTATTCAGATAATAGTCGAGCGATTATACAATTTTCTAATTATACTAAATATAGATAAAGAAAATTCACAAAACATTAAAAATTCGCAAAATAATCCCCAATTATATCATTAGAAAAAATGTGAAAATTTGCGAAAAAATACTTACTTTGCTTTCAACCACTTTTGTCGCCTCTTCTATGAGAAGCTCTGTTTTGCATCCAATTAGAGATGACTCGGAAATTCTGCTCATAATCTGTAAACAATAGGTATTTCCAAAAGAAAAAGAAAACA